TTGATTGGTTGGTAGATCGTCACTTTCCCCACCATTGCCTAGATAATTGGTGGGGGAAAAAGGTGGAGGGAGATTCGCGAAATTCCCCCCACCTTTTTTTTTTTGAAAAATGTCAAAAAAGGTCTCATCCCTTGAKTGGTTGGTAGATCGTCACTTTCCCTACCATTGGCTAGATGAATGGTGGGGAAATGAGTTGGGGGGAGATTGGCCCATTTTGTTTTTTCGAAAAACGTGAAAAATGTGTAATTTCTTGATTGGTTGGTAGATCGTCACTTTCCCCACCATTGCCTAGATGATTGGTGGGGGAAAAAGGTGGGGGGAGATTCGCGGAACTTCCCCCCCTCGTTTTTTTTTCGAAAAATATCAAAAGAGGTTTCATCGCTTGTTTGGTTGGTAGATCGTGACTTTCCCCACCATTGGCTAGATGATTGGTGAGGAAATCAGGTGGGGGGAGATTCGCGAATCTCCCCCCACCTTCTTTTTTTTCGAAAATTGACAAAAAGGTGTCATTCCTTGATTGGTTGGTAGATTGTCTCTCTCCCCACCCTATATGAGATGATTGGTGGGGAAAGTAGGTGGGTGGATGATTTGGGGGGTGGGGCGGGGAGTACGGCGATCGGGCCGGGCATGGGAAAGGAGGGGGGGGGGGAATAGGGTACGGCGTTCCGAGATCACCGTACCCCCACCGATTATAGGAGGGGGAGGGGTACGGCGTTCTCGGAACGCCGTACCCCCTCTGGTTGTCGGCGGGGGAGGGAGCGGGGGTACGGCGTTCTCTGAACGCCGTACCCCCGCTCCCTCACCCGCCGATGATTGGTGGGGGTACGGCGTTTTCGGAACGCCGTACCCCCTCTGGTTGTCGGCGGGTAAGGGAGCGGGGGTACGACGTTCCAAGAACGTTGTACCCCCGCTCTCTCCCCCGCCGACAACCAAAGGGGGTACGGCGTTCTCGAAACGCCGTACCCCCGCTCCCTCCCCCGCCGAGAACCGGAGGGGGTACGGCGTTTTGAAAACGCCGTACCCCCCCCTCCGGTTGTCAGCGAGGGAGGGAGCGGGGGTACGGCGTTCACGGAATGCCGTACCCCCACTCCTTTCTCTTCACGGGAACCGGAGGGGGTTCGGAGGTTCGAGAACGCCGTACTCCCTCCGGTTCGCGTTGGGCGGAGGGAGCGGGGGTGCCGCGTTATCGTAACATAGCCATACCCCCTAGGCCCTGTATGTGGACAGAGCCGAAGGGGTACGACGTTTTAAAAACGCCGTACCCCCGCCGGTTCGCGGTGGGGGGGGGAAGGGAGCGGGGGTGCGATGTTCTCGAAACGCCGTACACCCGCTCGTTTCGCCTCGAGGCAATCGGAGGGGGTGCGGCGTCTTCAAAACGTAATGCGATAGTGAAAGGTTTGATATCTGAAAGCGATCCGTTCTTCTGTTCGGAATGTGCCAACCATCAGGAGGAGCATCTACTGTCCCGGAAAAGAGAGTCTATAAGACGTGCTCAATGTATAGAGATAGGGAGTGGGCCCTTGATTGGGTGAGGGGCCTACACGAGGCGGGATGTGGGGCCGCTGTGTTTCTGAAGACAGCCACGGGCGACGACTGGTTCTGTGTTGAAGGGATTATTAAATCCGAGGATGAGAGGGCGGACGGGCATGGACGGAAGTTCAGGATGTTTTTCCTTACAATGGTGTACGACGAACAGGGAGTGGACCATGCGAAGGTCGACCATAAAGTCAGCCTTGATTACAATTTGTTCAAGGGGTATGGAGGTAAGGCGATTACCATGAAAGCCTTCGATGTCTCCCCGAAAGAAGACGGGAGTGTGTTGACGATGCTTGGCCCCGTGAAACTCCTCGCCAAAACGAACGGGTACAGGAGATCCGGAAACAGTCCCACGGTACAAGCCGGGCATCGTATGTCTTCGACACTCGTGCCTTTTGACACGCCGGACGAGGATCTCCCCGGCATGGCAAAGAGAGAGAGGCAAAGGACGCCACATTGTTTTCCAACGCAGTAGACGTCTATGGGTGGAAGCCGGCGCCGCAACAAACGGACCCAGCCGCGTCATCAAACAGACGAAGGGGCTCGTGGTGCTCCTGTGGAATCGACCCACCAGAGGGAATGTGCAGGGCCGTCTCAGCCGTCCACCCGGCAAGACGAAGGCACCCCTGTCATTACATACAGAAGGAAGGCCTGCACAACTGGTCCGTCTGCTGCCCACCAGAAAGACTATGGTGGTGCGTCCGGGAGGGCGGCCCTGCGGGAGATAAGTGAAGGATCGGACGAGGAAACGGAGGAGGATCCTCGGATTCGTGTTGATCAGCATCCGCAGGGTAATCATGCCGTCGACGATGAGGAATGTGGGGTCGAAGAGGACGATGCCCAAGAGGAGAAAAGGGAGAGAGAGAGATAGGGAGAGGATCGTGAGGAATCTATGCACGACTGCGAGGACGGGAAGTCTCGATAGCACGACGAGGGGGACTATGGGGGCGATGGAGAAAACGATGATGCCTATCCTGGCGATGATGAGGATGGAGGGCAAGAAGGGTCGGCTGATATGGAGGTCGATGAGGGAACAGGAGATCGGTCGGAGGGCAGTGTGCACAAAAGGAAGCGGTGATCTTCAATAACTCCAACGACGACGACGGATAAACGCACTGCGAAGAGACTCACTGTCGCTGCATCTCGAGAGGCACTAAGAGCTTCTCAAGAGGCAGGCGCTGAAAACGTGAAGAACCGCAAAGGGAATGCGTCAACCAGGACGACAAAAGCGGAGAAACGTCCACTGAAAAGAAAGCAGATGGTCGATGAGGGCGACTCCGGAGAGGACGCCGAAGAGGTTGCTCCAAGGGCTCCGTCGGAACAGACACAACCTTCCGCCGACACCCGTTATGACGCCATCGACACAACACGGTGCTTCTTCTTGGAGTTTGATGAGGATGGGTTTGCGAAGAAGAATCGGGAACACATTCAAGTGGATATAACGAAGATCTTGCCAATTCCTGAAGGTGACATCCTCTTCAACCATAGAACATTGGACGAAACGTTTGTGCAGTCCATATATGATGCGATCCATTATGCGGCTAAGGAAACCAACGGGAAGTGGGATATCATGACTTTCATCCTGGCTCCAATTGTACCGAACGGGGACGGCTCTCAAGGTAGACGGATCACACCGAAGGAATTCGATGTCGCCCTGGCTCTTACATACCACTGGTATGCTGTTGCTGGCCAGCACACGGCTGAGGCAATGAACAGACTCATTAAATACAAGTCACCGGCCGAGAAAGTGTACGGCTTGAGGTCGTACTCTCACGTACGCGTTGTCTACTTTGACGATGACAATAAGAGAGGATATCCGTACGTCTCGACATTCGACAACACGAGGGAGGAGTGTTCCATCCCGAGATAGTTTTCGTCGTCTGTGCGGCAAATCAGAAGATTTTGGGATAAGAGGAATGACCGGATCCGTCCTCCGGGCACCGTGTCCCCGAATGACGTCGGGGGAATGAAACGGAAAAAGAAGTGGGAAGCGTTCATGAATGCCGCCTGCAAAATGACACCTGATTCCGGTCTCATGAACTCGTCCCTGGAGAACGACTACTGCAAGGACTGGACGAACAAGATGCGCGGATACATGAATCTTGCGCAGTGCGGCGAGACAGGATGGCCACTGGTAGACAAATTCTTTGGCATGTACGAGAAAGGACTATTGCCAAGAATCGACGGTGTGAGATACGTCGATCTGCCGGGGAAAGTGAAAGAGAGGCTGCCTGGGCAATACTTCCTCAAGGACAACTCCGGCAAAAAAGTCATGTACCACTGCATCAAGGCCAGAAAGGGGCCGCAAGGCGCAACGGTGTCTATACCAGGCTTGATGCCCTCAATCTTTAAGCTGTTTGGCGATATGACAGCGAGAGAGAAGCAAGTGGCGCTGCACCACATGATGCGTGGTGATGTCATCGTGACATCACGTACGGTACCTCGTGGTAGATGCAAAATGGCGGACCTAGTAAAATATACTCGGCGTGAGAGATATATGGTCCGTATGTTCAACTACATATTGTTCAAGGTCGAGGGGAGGTGAAAGGAAGAGTGGAACACTGACTTCTTCATCGGTTATACGATCATCTTGGAAAGGTACAGCAAAAACGGCCTCACTGACGATAAATGGACCGAGGAACGCGACCACATCCCTGACGACAAGGCGAGGAAGGTGCCGAGGCGTTTGGGCGGTCCTGATGAGATCCATGGCGGGAACGGTGCGGGGCTGGAGGCAACCCAAGCCATGTACAAGGAAACCTCATTCCACCTCAAGTGTTTCATCTACGAGGCGATCGATTGCTTGGACAACTTGAGAGAGGAGGTGAATCGGATATCCTCCAATGCTCGTCACATCTTTTGGGAAGTGGGGAAAAGGATTACCACGATCCTGCCATATGAAATCGAACTGAAGGGAGTGGTCACCGACAACAAGGAGGTTGTAGGTACAGCGAGGGGGATGAAGATACGGGCAATCATTCTTGATATGTCAACATCACAAAAATGTGTTCCGTGGGATGATGACGCATTTTCTGAACTGCACGCTTTCCTCACGACATGCTGTGGCGAAAACTGGGCCTTGATCATTTTCGCGCCGATGAAGCACCAGAAACAGGTGATGCAGAGTGTGTACAAGTGGGACGATGTTGAGGTGCTCACTGGGTCATGGTACAGACACTACACACCTTCGACAACCGTGAACAAGTACGACAACATTGCAGTTCGGTACATTGATATGATGGCTATTGTCCTCCACGTCGAGAACGACAATTTGAACAATATAACGGTTGCGCCGAAATTGCGAGCCGAATTGACAAATTTTAACATTGAAGAGGGTGAGTTTGTGAGGTGCTCAGGGAAGTGTATCGGCGTGGAGGGCGACACTGATGCGGTTTATTCTTGGATGGAACGAGAGTCTGCATGTCTCCGAAAGCTATGCAGCTCATTCATCAGGGAGGATGACGGCGTGATGCTGCTGGGCAGGGCGCATGCGGGACTGATTTGGGAACTGGCTCGCGCCGGACACCACGTGTTTGCGTGTGACGACACGACAAAAGAGCTCACATACCTTTTCAAGTTTTTGGACTTCTATGTGAAGGATCCGAGGAACAGATGCAGGTTCGAAAAGCCCCAAGTCGAGCACCGCAAGGACCGGGACATATACTATAAGCTCGGTAGAAAGAGGGAGAAAGTGTGGGCTTACTTGTTCGGTGACGCTCCACAGTCGGTGGTTGATAACGAATACGTCATCAGGAAAAGCGAACTCGAGATAGCAATGAACGAGTACCACGGATCGCACATGGGTTCTTTCCACATGTTCGTCGCACGTTGTTAGCATCTGTATTTCAATATGAAGAAAAGAGCACTGGCAGGCCGGGACTATGCAGACTTGGCACGTAAAGTCGGCAACTTCAACAACATCGATTGCGACGAAGACACGTCAGACTCCGACCTGGACGTCCCGTCGCGCGCGGCACGAGGTGCGGCGGAGGGAGCGCTTGGCGAGGAGCCGCAAGGGAGCACCAACGGACCTGCGGAGAAGGCGAGTTTGAGTATGGGAGCAACACGTGCGAGTGAGGGAAATGTGGAAACAAGAATGACTGGAAGGGGAGAAAGGAATGGTGTACCAACAAACCCGGTGGGTGTGAGTGAGGGGATAGTTAACTCACAGGGCAACACAGGGGGAGGAGAGAATGGGTGTGCAATGGCCCCACCGACAGCTGGGCCATCATCGACGCATGCACCGCAGGCCGAGCAACGGACACTCACGTCCATGGACACCGATGAAGACGAAGAGTTGGATATGACAGCACTCACGCCGAAGCTCGTGCCAGGAAGACCGTTGCCTCAAGGCTTTGCCCCAGACCCTTCAGTGCCATACTTGCTGCAGGACAAGTACAAAGAGTCATCGAAGGAGGATTGGGGTCATCATATTCTCTGGCATGAGGGTGTGTTCGAACCGTGTGTGTTTGCAGGATAGTAGCAGATGGCTGTGAAGACATGAGACCGAGGGTGGGTCGCGAAGGAAAAAAAAGGACGCTGCGATATGGCACAGCGTGACGGAAACGCAAATTTATCGGCGAGTTTTGAAAGAAAACGCCGGTGCAAGCGAGGAAGCTATAGCGGCAAAGGCGAAAGCTTTGTTCGAGCATCTGCGTGCGAACAAAAAGCTAAAATTCAGCACAAAGTTCTACGACCTTGCATCAAGTGTATCGTACGGCTCCATCAATTGGAAAATCGGACTGGCTTCAGCAGTACAAGGAATCGATAGCATCAACTCTCTGAAGATTCAGGACGTTATCGCATCTAACACCATCATTGCGATTGCCAGAGGGGATCCAGCCTGCGAAACGGACACACGTGCGAACGCAGGTCACGTGCAGGATGAACAGCAGCGAGCATGTGCTCAACAAAGCACTCCGAGAAGCGCAATGAGGGATTCCACAATGATACGCAAGGACGGCGACGACATGGAGTCGGGCGCATTGACAGAGCAGCGAACAGGGGGGGTCAATGATGGGACAACAAACGTTGGATCTTTCAGGTCTCTTGTAGCTACAATGACGGCGAGGCAAGGCATATCTGAGATGATGGAGACCGATGCTGGCCAGGATGATGAAAGCCAGGCGGTGAAGGTGCCACAAGAGGAGGTGGCAGCAACAACAGAGCAGTCAACGAAAGGTGAGGGATCCCGCGAACACATTTCCATAATAGATATGACATCGGAGAGTACGGGCGAGGATATGATACAAGAGAAGGAACAAAACGATGACAACAATGCGCCAAGGGTTGAAGGTGACCACGAAAAGGACGTGCAACAACTGAGACGGTCGACGAGGATAGTGATTAAGAAAGTTGTGGTGGATGCGTAGACATTGCTTAGATGGTCATGGACGTTTACACGGTTCAGGTTATATAGATGTGTTGCCGCAACTCAGTAGGTTTGAAAACTATGTGAGACAGAAATGAGTGTCTACACGTTATAGGTTATACTCTTGTGTTATTGGAAGTGTTATTGTGACAGTGCAGTTCTCGAAATTGCACTACCGATCATAGAGGGTGGCCCATATCGATATGTAGATGTGTGTGTGTGTGTGTGTGTGTGTGTGTGTGTGTGTGTGTGTGTGTGTGTGTGTGTGTGTGTGTGTGTGTGTGTGTGTGTGTGTGTG